CGTTTGGGTTCCGGGACTCCATTGTGGGGAATGCAAGAATAGACCCACTGCCTTTTCCAGCAAGCACGTCGTATGAGTTGACTAACTGGGGACTTACCCTTCCAAGTCGGAGTGCATCTGCCCGAGTGACAAGGAACAGCTAACTGCACCCAAATAAGCCAGTTAAACGGAGGTTCACGCAAAACTTATGTCCTGGCACAAAGCCGAAGTCCAAACAACCAGGACTTTCCGCCGGAACTTACAGCCGGTGAACGAAGAAGAAGAAGCAAGAAAATATGCCCTTAGGATTTACTTTCAGGGAATGTTATATTTAACTCATGTAACAAGTTTACATTTATATAATCACTTATTTAAAACAATATTATTAATCTATAAATTCATTACTTTACAATCCACATCACCCAGCAAGGGCCGACGGGTCTATAAGAATATCTTCTTCTTCTTTCATTCGCTTGAAATAAATTATCTATATCTGCAGTGTTGTCTCTAGTATGAACTTCAGCGTCTTTCGTAATTCAGTAAGTGGCCCGAAAAGTTTGGCTTCCACCGGTGTCTCTCTTGGCCAAAAAGTTTTGTCTGGAAACGTTGTATTATGGACAGTCTTGGAGGATGTGATCAGCTGTCTCAGGTGCCAGTCCACAGGTACACACTACTGATTTGTCAATCTTACATTTTGTATACATGTTGCTGCAAAGTCGATGATGCCCTGTTCTAAGGCGTAGGTATAACAATATTAGTCTAGTCCGATGTGCCCAATGCACCGTTGCCATGTATAGGAACCTTTTACTTACTTTATAATTAAAAATCTATTATCTGTTTCAATGGACGGACGAAATCCGCCTGTCTGGCTGACGATCTTATACTTTGAATAGGGCTTAAATTACTAACACATTGAAAAATCATGCTAAGGCTTCTTTTTGCATTAGGTTTTATTGTCAGTGAAACATGATAACTAGCGCTTATTCAAAACTTTTAAAAAAAGAAGTTATAAATTAAATACAATAATATTAACACAAAAGCAGGTTGCCTGTTAAAAAAAGTTAGTTGCAAATCCTTAACCGAAATTCGCAAACCAACCCCAGCATTTGCTGGCTATTTGTGGTTGGATTGGATTGGCTTTTTACCCCACCAGGACATCACACAAGCGATAAACACCCGATGACACAAAGTGCCACCATGCGGATGAGGATCACCGTGGAGAGGTCCCAGAAACCGCGTTCAGACATTTGGCCATAATGATGACCTGCCTATATTGCGGCCCCTGGCAAAAGCCAGAGTGGGGCTTCAAATAACAAAAAATAACGTCCTAAGAAGGACGTGAGAAATAGTGGTTTTTATCTGGCAATTTTTATACTAAGTAGTTTGCCACTGTAGTACTCTCATACCATTGTTGAAATCAACACATAAAGGTTCAATGTCCGTTATGAAGTACAACATGGAAACACAAACTGGCAGGTAAACATTTACAACTAATACGTCATAAACATCTGAAAACACATGAAAAACAAAACAGAGAAAGTGTGTGTATACTCTTAAAAAATGAACCAGAAATGCTTGTAAATTTCCATAAGGCAAAATTACTAGTCTTTTTTTCTTCTATTTCTCCAGTTATTTCATTGAGGTGTTTGGGGTAGATATAAGGATCTTGCACACGCTCTGCCAAATGTGATGTATAAGTTGGTCTTCATTTCCTTCAGGCTATTCTTGACATCATCATTCCATGTTCTGCAGGGTCTTCCCCTTGCTGACATGAGTGGATTGGTTTACCTCTCAGCCAAAGCATGTATATATGTTGGCTAAGTCCGTCAAACCATGTCCTGAGATGTAAAATGATATCTTGTCCCTGTTGGTCGAGTAAGTGGTAGCTATCTTTGGCTGCTTCTGTCTCCTCTGATATACTCTGGATGGTTCTTATATTGTTCAAGCAGCATCATGGCAGAAAGACACAAGAGCATTCTGGAGATTCTAGCCAGCCAACCTTTAATTTGAAGATGGTGACAGTTCTGATATAAAGAAACAACAGGAGAAAACATTTGTGGGCATCAACTGCCAAACAATATGCAATGTATGGAAATTGTTTCTTCAGCGATTGTTTGCTTTGCATCTACTCCAGCGAGTGTCCTAAACAAGGTGATGTACTTAAGGTCCTCCTTAATGCCCTATATTTTGTTTTGTAGAGTCGTCGTGTGAGCTTGATATAGTCTCTTTCACAGGCAGTTTGGGCAACTATTTGTATTTCCAAGACATGCTCTGGAGTCTTCTAAGACATGCTCTGGAGTCTCCTAAGACATGCTCTGGAGTCTGCTTCAGTACTCCCCATCAGCATGTGTCAGGATCAGCGGGACCCATATGGTGAAGACATGTCCCACGTTTACTGCATCCCATTCAGTATGACGATTCTAGACTGTGTGTTTCTGCCAAACCTATTTATGCCGTCATGCTCTGGTCTGTAATTTTCCTTTATTACAGGAATATCAATTGCTTTGGGACTCTGGCCACTCAGGTAAAGGATTCTTTTGTCCCCCCAAAAGAGCTAACCCATCCTTTTAGACCAATCCCACTCAATGGGAGGTGTGATCAATATCATACAGGCATGCTTCCTGTGTGGGTTCTGGGGCCCCATTGTAGGGGGAAAAAAAGAACAAACCCACTGCCTATCCAATAAGCATGTCATAAGAGTTAACTAATTTGGGGCTTCCTTTGATGATGCAATATATCTGCCTGAGAGGCAAGGAACAACCAACTGCACACAAATAAGCCAGTAAAACGAATGTACATGCAAAACTCAGGCCCTGGCAGGAAAGTCTAAATGAATGAACAAGCAGAATTTTCCACCACAGCTTACAGCCGGTAAACAAAGAAGAAGAAGATATAGGCATTTAACCAGACATTTGCTGATACCAACAATAGACTGGATTGATCTGGAAGACATGTCAGTGAGAAAAACTTCATCCACTCAAAAATAATGATAAATAAATTCATAGGTTCTGATATCATGTGTGCCAATTAACCTGCACATTTATTATTCAAATTAAGTAAGAGCATATTTGTTTGCTTTATTTTTTTCCTTACTTAGTCGCTCCTCTTCTACCTTGGGGTGTAGAGGTTTGCCAGAGAGATCGCCAGATGTCTCTATCAGCAGTTTTCTTTCTGGCTTTGTTCCATTCCAGTCCTCTGTCCAGTTAGGGACTGTCGGATGTTGTCTTCCCAGCGCACCCTTTGTCGTCCTGGAGGTCTGGTTCCCTGGTTCTTAGCCTCCCATGCCTGCCATGGTGGCCGATTTTCTCCCATTCTGCATACGATGTCCAGGATTAGTAATAAAGAACAAAGAACAATGGTAGGCATAGTATCGGTAAAAGGATTTCTCAAAGAATTTAATAGTTTGATCGATTTTCAAGACATGCTCTTTAGCGGGCAATAGGCGTCTCCCTATCCCCCCTCTTCCAACAATGGGGAGCCAGAACCTACAGGAGGAATTTTCAACAACAGGAAAAATGCACTTGAGTACACATTTGTCCTTACAGTCCATGCCATCTGTTGTGGATCATCATGTTTAGGCCCAGCCTTCTATCTCAAGTCATGTTCAATTATATTTGATACAGATCTTTCTCCGTGCCATATTGCTAAATCTTAACTTTAGTCTCCCCCTGCTTCTCTTCCCCTCCATCTTCCATGTTTGTGATGGGTACTCTAGTTTTTCCTTTCTCAAAAAAAAGCTCAGAAAATGTGGATTGCCACACAGACTAATACCTCTAACATCTCCTCTCTTCCAGTTTATCTATAGGGAGGGTGTTCCAGAAATCTTTCCAGTGACTGAATATTTGCAACCACACACCTCTGTTGATGCTCTCTCATGACGTGGTACACAATTATTTTAAATCTTTGACTGTGAAAGAGCTTATGAAACAACCTACACATCTTATTTTAACAACAACAAAAAGGTTCAAATGTAGCATGTGGTTAGATGTTTGCCTTCTGGCCTAAAAGGTCTTAAGTTCAAATTGGCAGCTAGTGAGATTTATTTCATTACTAACCTTGGCTTCCAGGTATATCAAGATAGGATTTATTATTTATCAGTTCATGTCCTGGGAAGCAAAGGTGGTCAGTGTGATACTGACCACATCAATCACAGAGTGCTGATTGATACTGACTACATCACCCGCAGAGTGCTGATTGGCGCTGACCACATCACCCACAGAGTGCTGATTGGTGCTGACCACATCACCCACAGAGTGCTGATTGGTGCTGACCACATCACCCACAGAGTGCTGATTGGTGCTGACCACATCACCCACAGAGTGCTGATTGGTGCTGACCACATCACCCACACAGTGCTGATTGGTGCTGACAACATCACCCACAGAGTGCTGATTGGTGCTGACAACATCACCCACAGAGTGCTGATTGGTGGTGACCACATCACCCACAGAGTGCTGATTGGTGCTGACCACATCACCCACAGAGTGCTGAATGGTGGTATAAGGTCACGTTCTTTTTCTTTTCTTTTCATAATTGACCATGGCCTCTAGGTAACCCAGCTTAAAATGGCTACTACGCCCTGTCCTGGAAAGTAAAAGCGGTCAAATTGATGCTGACCGCATGACCCACAGACTGCTGATTGGTGGTACCAGGTCATGTCCTGGGAAGCAAAGGTGGCCGGAGTGATGCTGACCACATGACACCCAGAGTGCAGTCCGGCATCATACACCTTCTGCACCAGTGATGCAATAAAGTTTCTTTTACTCTCAACAGAAAAATGTGACGTGTATAAAGTACAATAGATTTATACATAGAGCATTGAAAATAAAACATAAAATATAAAACCAAGTAAAAATATAAATAAATTTCAGTCAGACAAAACCACAGCTTGTAAATCAAGGCAATGAGTCGTTTGGTCTTTATGCAGCATTAGCTTCAGCAACTGAAACAAAACTGTCAAAACTGCAGCAGCACAATTTAAACAAAAACTGCACAAATAAGGACATTAAAAAACAAATGAATCAGACAGGGTACTGAAGAGCATAGGGTAGGAGTGGTCTTCTCCTTCCCACCGGAAACAGCCAAAATATGACCAGCCCTTTCCCACACAGCTCTCTATAGGAATGGTAACACTTGCGCAGTCGGACACTGGGGAAGATAAGTAGGTAATCTGTGAGTTTGTAAGTAAAGATATACTTTAAGCCAAAAAATAATGCATCTCCACCATTGCCTGTCTCAAGTATAAAGGAAAAAAAAAGAGGCAGATTCCTGTATACTAGATTCTATCTATTAATGTTGTCTTTTAATGCTAAACATGTAGAGAACAGGTACAGAACATTTAGCATTCTAAACTCTTCTTGTCAGAAACAAACAAATGCTATACATGTAGAGAACATGTAGCATTCTAAACTCTTCTTGTCAGAAACAAACAAATGCTATACATGTAGAGAACATGTAGCATTCTAAACTCTTCTTGTCAGAAACAAACAAATGCTATACTTGTAGAGAACATGTAGCATTCTAAACTCTTCTTGTCAGAAACTAACAAATGCTATACCTGTAGAGAACATGTAGCACTCTATACTATTCTTGTCAGAAACAAACAACAAATGCTATACATGTAGAGAACATGTAGCATTCTATACTCTTCTTGTCAGAAACAAACAAATGCTATACATGTAGAGAACATGTAGCATTCTAAACTCTTCTTGTCAGAAACAAACAAATGCTATACTTGTAGAGAACATGTAGCACTCTATACTCTTCTTGTCAGAAACAAACAAATGCTATACTAGTAGAGAACATGTAGCATTCTAAACTCTTCTTGTCAGAAATAAACAAAAACGATACAGGTACAGAACATGTAGCACTCTATACTTTTCTTGTCAGAAACAAACAAATACGATACAGGTACAGAACATGTAGCACTCTATACTTTTCTTGTCAGAAACAAACAAATACGATACAGGTACAGAACATGTAGCATTCTAAACTCTTCTTGTTAGAAACAAACAAATGCTATACATGTAGAGAACATGTAGCATTCTAAACTCTTCTTGTCAGAAACTAACAAATGCTATACATGTAGAGAACATGTAGCACTCTAAACTCTTCTTGTCAGAAACAAACAAATGCTATACATGTAGAGAACATGTAGCATTCTAAACTCTTCTTGTCAGAAACTAACAAATGCTATACATGTAGAGAACATGTAGCACTCTAAACTCTTCTTGTCAGAAACAAACAAATGCTATACATGTAGAGAACATGTAGCACTCTATACTCTTCTTGTCAGAAACAAACAACAAATGCTATACATGTAGAGAACATGTAGCACTCTATACTATTCTTGTCAGAAACAAACAAATATGATACAGGTACAGAACATGTAGCACTCTAAACTCTTCTTGTCCCATTAATTGCAAAGAAGTCGAAACACAGTGGAAGTGCGCAGTGATTATGCCACATTTCTTTTGCTTGTTTTACTCTTTTGTCATAATGCTTATGCTGTAGGGTGTCGCGAGAGGACTCTGGTGTGGCTGCCTGTCTTTTGCTAGCTGTGTAGCTTGTATTAAAGTCCTTCTGCATTTCTTTAGTAACTCTTCTACTTCCCCCACCCATTACTTTCTTAGCCGACCTCTTGCCTTGTAGCCTCCTGCTCTCATGTAATGCACCCTAGCTGCTGGCTGATTTTGTTCCATTCTGACCAATCCACTTGAGTCTTTGATGTTCTATAAAATTATTTACCAGTACTGTGCCCACCACTGTTCTTAGTTCTTCATTGGTGACTCTGACTGTTCTTGTTGTTTTTTTTCCCTGTCGAATTTCTAATAATCTCTTCTCACATATTGTAATTTTATGTTCTTTAGCATAGTCTGACTAATCGTTTTAAAAAATATATATATTTAAAAAAAAAATTTGTGTTTCAAAAGTTAAGGACTGTTTTCATACTTCTGGCAAATCAGGCTTATGATGCTAAACACATATTTTATAGAACAGTCAGTACTCAATGGGAAATGAGGTCAACATCAACATGGTTGCCATTACTACCCAAGACATTTCCTGGTAGCCATTTTAGGCTAGGTTAACTTGGGAATGCTTGAAAAAAATATTTTAAAGAAAATATCAAAATATGATGCAAATGTGAATCCAAGATCTTTGGGCTGACAGGCAAGTGTCTCATCAGGCTATCATGGTCCTATCCCCTTCTTCTTCTGCCCTTCAACCAACCCAAGCCAAGTCATAACTTCTTTGCTATTACATGCAGCCCACCCCCTGTCGCTCTCTAGCTCCCTTCTCCATGTGTTTTCTGGTCTGCCATTATTCTATGCCCCTGTGAGTTCCAGTGCAAGGACATTCTTGTTATACTGTTTGGTTTTCTCAATTACTGTTCTATCCAAAGCTAGCATTTTTTCCCCACCATTTGATTCACTAGAATTTGTTTAGTTCTCTCCCAAAGTTTTACATTTGTGATTCTATTCTAGTAACCCTGTGGGTTCCAGTGCAAAGACATTACAGTTATATTGTTCTCAGGTTCTCTCAATGTATGCCCTATCCAACGCCAGTGTCTTTTCTTCCCCGCTTTATTCACTGGAGCATGGTCCTACCTACCTAAATGTAACAAATAAAAACAAAATCTGTGGAATGGAAAGGAGCCGATCACAGAGTTTGGTATTCAAAGAGATAAGTCTGTTAGTGACCTACTTGTCAAGAGTTAATGGTGATGCTATTCTCTCCAGGGTTGTCTTATTCTGTGGAGATGGATTGGATGTGAAACAAGCATTAGAAATTATTCAACATTTTCCAAAACATTTTATACAATTCTCCCTGTACAAAGCAAGTGTAAAGAATTTAAATATAATGAGTTCACTAAAACCATATTTTCTAAAGCTTCTTGTTCTTTTCTTCCTCCAGTTACCACAGCAAAGTCTTGGAGGAAGAATGTGCATTTTTTTTTCTAATGTGCTGTGTAAGTTCAACCATTTCTCTGTTCTTGATTCTGTCATTCCACATTTACCTGGTGTCCTCTTGCTCTGTGTCCATTGTATTTCTTCAGCACGGATCTTTGCAGAAGCTGCCATGATGTAGCAGCTAGATGCTTGCATGCGGATCTTAAGATCATGGGTTCAAATACACAGGTAGTTTGATTCTTTTCATATTTGGTCTTGGCTCCCAGGTTTACCCAGCCTTAAACGGGTATCAAATAAAGTCCTGGGAAGTAAAGATGGCTGGTGAAATGTTGACCACATCACCTATCGAGGACCAATTGATCCATAAAAATATAAGTCAAGCCTCATATGCCCGATGTGCCACTGGTGTGTAAAGGGACTTTGACTTCACTTTAACGATGGATTCCTCTAGCAGTTAGCACTGTGGCAGACTTGTCAGATGTTTGCAAAAATTGTATCTGTGACAATGAATTGTGCAGATGGTTGCAAACATTTTAACTGTTGCTCTTTACTGAACTGTGCAGACGGTTGTAAACATTTTATCTGTTGCTCTTTAATGAACCGTGCAGATGGTTGCAAACATTTTATCTGATGCTCTTTAACACACTGTGCAGATGGTTGCAAACATTTTATCTGTTGTTCTTTAACACACTGTGAAGATGGTTGCAAACATTTTAACTATTGCTCTTTACTGAACTGTGCAGATGGTTGCAAACATTTTATCTGTTGCTCTTTAATGAATAATGCAGATGATTGTAAACATTTTATCTGTTGCTCTTTAATGAATTGTGCAGACGGTTGCAAACATTTTATCTGTTGCTCTTTAATGAACTGTGCAGATGGTTGTAAACATTTTATCTGATGCTCTTTAATGAATTGTGCAGATTGCAAAAATTTTATCTGCTGTTCTTTAATGAACTGTGTGGCTGGTCCCAGAATTCTTCTAATTATTTCATTTAAAGTTTAATCTAATGAGTGGAAGATAGGAACAACAGAGATGAGATGTCTTAGGAGAGCTGCCGGTGTGACAAGAAGAGATAAATCAGGAATGAAGAAATTAGGAGAAGACTAGGACTGAAAACAGTTATACAATTCATTAAAGAACAACAAATGAAATGTTTTGGCAACCTGATGAGAAGGCCCTGGTACAAACTGCCACAGAGAGCCATGCTGAAGAAATATAATGAATACCGAGCAAGGGGAAGACTACGCAAGAAGTGGAGCGACATCATCAGGAACAACCTAACAGAAATGAACACCAACTTGTACAATGCATTGGAAAAAGCTCACAAAGGATCCTTAAATCTTCCCCCTCCCCCCCCCATCACCTTGCTGAGGTAAATGGTGGAAGAGAAGAAGAAGAAGAAGAAGAAGAAAGTTTAATCTCATCTCTTTACTCCAGTAGCTTTCCTAAGACATATGTTTGTTACTATGATTTTCCGTTCATGAGTGGTAGTAAAGGTCCATGTCTGACACTGGTAGCATAAAGTTGGCAAAAATATATTTACATTAACTTCATATCTATTTAATCGTGAGTCATACATCATCTAGCTTCTTCTTGTGCTAATCGATAAGTCTTTTATAAAAAAAGTATGTAAAGGTCCCTTTTCCACGCCCTTAGGCATATAGGGCATATAGGGCTAGACATATTTTTATAGACCAATCTGCACAAGATGGGTGTTGTGGTCAGCATCATGCCGGCCACCTTTACTTCCCGGGACTGTACCCGGTACCCACTCAAGGCTGGGTCGACTTGGGAGTCAAGGTCATTTTTGAAAAAAGTCAGGCTCGGCCAGGGATCGAACCCACGATCTTCCAATCCGCAGGCGAGCATCTAGCCGCAACTTTTTTTTTTAAAGCAAATAATAAAATCACCATCAAGTGCCTTGCTGACTGGTGTCTGCAATCATGCCTCTCCCCAGTCTGTGATCTACAACAGCATGGATCAGTCCATATGCTGACACCCCTCCATACCATGTTAAAAGGCTGTCAAGAATCATCAGAATAGTAAAATGCTGGTGTCAAAAATCATATCTCTAGATCTCTGGTGTCAAAAACCATATCTCTAGATCTCTGGTGTCAAAAACCATATCTCTAGATCTCTGGTGTCAAAAACCATATCTCTGGTGTCAAAAACCATATCTCTGGATCTCTGGTGTCAAAAACCATATCTCTGGATCTCTGGTGTCAAAAACCATATCTCTGGATCTCTGGTGTCAAAAACCATATCTCTAGATCTCTGGTCTCAAAAACCATATCTCTAGATCTCTGGTGTCAAAAACTATATCTCATTGAGTAGGCTAGGGTTACTCTAAAATTACCCCCAAAAAACTTTTCTTTAATGTCTTCTCCTTCTTATTTTTCTTCTTCTGCATTTACCGTTAAAAGTGTGGTTGACATGTTGCAGTGTGGTTTACAGCTAAGATGTGATATCTGGGCCTTTTGGCCAACACATTCTTTTTTCAGCAAAACCCTAATTAGTCTCCTTTTATTATATGCTGGTTAGGGGTTAGTGGGTTTATTTTTTTTCCTCTCTCAAAATGGAGCACTGAAACCTACTCTCTACTTTCTCTCTCTTCTGCCTTTCTACCCCTAATGGAGCCCTCAACCAACTCACGCCAAGTTCATTCTTTTGCTATCGCAAGCAGCTTTCCCCATGTCCACCCCATCTTTCTAACTTCATTCTCCAGCTCCCTTCTGCATGTGTTTTTGGCTTTTCTATATTCATATGCCCCTGAGGATTCCAGTGCAATGACATTCTAGTTATATTGTTCCCCGGTTTTCTCAATATGTGTGTCCAATCCAACAACAGCATCTTTTCTTCACCTCTTGGTCCACTTGAGCTTGCTTAGTTCTCTCCCAAAGCTCTACATTAGTGATTCTATCATACTATTTAATTGCCTCTAGTCTGCACAGGCACCAGTTAATGAATGTCTGTAGTTTATTTGTAATTGCCTTAGTTGTTCTCCGTGTTTCCGCCCCATACAAAAGTACCGATTTGACATTAGAATTAAAACTTTTAAGTTAGTATTTCTTTTAAATTTCTTTTGACCTCCACAAATTCCCTAGTGCTATGAAAACTCCTCTTGCCTTTTGTATTCTTATTTTAATTTCTCTATCAGTTCCCCCATCATTATGTATATTACATATTATGTATGACTCCACGTCATAAAAAGAAACCACATTACTATTTGCCTGATTTATTCTCATAATCTTTGTCTTTCCTTTATGGATTTGCAGGCCAAGCTGCTGTGATTTCACATCACGTATATTTAATTTATTTTGCATATGATTCCGTGAATGGGACAGAAGAGAAATATCATCAGCGAAGTCCAGATCATCAATCTTTTTTGTAGGGGTCCACTGAATTCCATTCTTGGTGTTAGCAGTTACTGTCTTCATAATCATCTATTGCCAGTAAAAACAGGAGAAGGGACAAAAGACATCCCTGTCGCACACCTGTTATTATTTCCAATGTATCTGTTAGCTTTCCCTCATGAAGAACTCAACATTTCATGTCTTTATATGTTGCCTTTACTAAGTTAATAATTTTCTGTGGGATTCCATCAATCTATCAATGCTGTCAAATGCTTTTACATAGTCTATAAATCCTATGAAAAGTGGTGAGTTCAATTCAATGCTTTGCTCTCTTATAGTACGTAATGTGGCTATCTGGTCAGTACAGGATCTGTTTGGCCAAAAACCTGCCTGTTCATCTCTTAGCTTTTTATCAATAGCATCTTTTAATCTTTCCTAAATAATTCTACTTAATATTTTTCCAAGAACTGACAGCAACATAATTCCTCTCAAAGGCAGCACACTAGGAGTTAATTCAGTTCAATTTGTTTAGGTTTCCAAATGCTGAAAAATGTTTAATGTGGCTCAGGTTAAACAAAGAACACTGACCTGATCTTTTCTTCTGGTGACTGGGTAAACCAAGACAGCCTATGTTTATATGCATGGCACAAGATGATGATCATAATGATGACGATTAAGCACACAATTGCTGTTTTAACACATCAATAAAGGCTAGGTGTCTAACTACTACTCCAAGATGATGGTGGGGTATTCTTCTTATTCTGCGCTCACTTATAAAAGAGCACTTGTGATTTAGATACAGCTTGTTTTTCGTATAGTCAATGCCATATGGCATTGGCCGAATGGTAGCCATATCTATCCACAACCTTCTGTTTCGTGTACTTTCACTGGTAGTGGAGTAGGGAGGGCAAACCCTACCACCAGGGAATGGGAGGTGCGCCCCACACCCTTTTCCTGATCAAGGTTATGTCAAGTCATGGTAGACAGGTGATGAAACAGTTTTCAGCTGAAAAGTTTTTAGTTCTCATCACCGCTTTAGCTGTGCTAGGCAGAGGATGCTTCTTTAGGCACAATGCCTAGGACCTGCCCAGCAGGGGCACTACTCTCACAGAAAGAAACTGCAACCTACTTTGAGTATTTTGCAAAGAAAAGTCCTGTCTACAGTTACAGCTAGGCATTATCGTGCATTTTGGCCAAACATATCTGATTTCAGCAAAACTTTTAATGGTAGCTTTTTATGATATGACTGTTAAGGTAACATGGGGTTACCCCCCCCCCCCCCTCCCCCCTTTCCAATCAGAATAACACCAAGAAACCCACGCAAGGAACGACGGGGTATAGCATCCTTCGGTTCATTATTTTACAAAATTCCACAACATAATGTTATCCTGGTGATTCCAAGCTGGAAGCAAATGTCTAAGCCACTCTCCTGTCAAACAAATTTAAACCAAAATGAAAACTGTGAAAGCAGCCCAACTTACAATAAGGATGTTGTAGTGTTGCTGTGACAGCTGCAGGCCCATCATCAAGGCCATGTTCAATGACAGCAGAAACTCCAGGTACATGAACCAGATGCTGTGCTTGATATAAAACGCATCCTGTCAGGGAAGAAGCAGGAAGAGGTAAATAATTAACTTACGTCAGGATCCTTTTCCAAACACTGAAGTGTATTTAGTATATATGTCTGTCAAAACTGCTCTCTCTTTTAGCATCATTATAACAAGATAAGAGGCTTCCGCACAGGACCATTTTGGATCGCATACATCCCTCAGGCATGGCGTATCAGCCTGCTAGGCAGCGGAGGTTACACAGGCAGAGAAACGGAGGCAGACTAGTAAGAACTGTACCACTAATCCCACACCTACTGCGGCTTCACCTGTTATATGCACTGCTCACCAGGCTCATATTAGACTAATCAGCCACCTTCGTACTCATAATCACTGATCATTACTACTTTGGCTGAGGTCTCAAGGTATGGTGTCCGCCTCAAGTGCTGAAGGTCCCCAGTTCAGGCAGGGATTTTTTCACGTGGACTTCTAGTAATTTTCCTTGGTCTCTGGGTAGTAAGATTGGATGACCATGTGTATTGCTGTGCACATATAAAATCCCTTGGCATTTGGAAATCTAAAAGAGTAGCCTAAAAAGCACTGCCCGGGCAAAATTTGGAGTTTAAAATCTACCCAAAGTATTTCAGGATCCTTGACGGTGAAACAGAGTTCATGCACTGCGCTGAAATTCTTCAGACTTATGGGTTACACCCGTGTGCCACGATGCTGATCCATCAAATAAACATAAAAATACTATTTTGGATGAAAAGTGGTCTTTGTTGCTCTGAATAGACGAACAACATATGTGCCTGGAGAAAACGATGCAGTGGGAAACGTCAGCCGGCTCTTGGTGCCACTCAGGATTCGAGGGAACGACAAGTTGAGTAGTTAACTACATGACAACAGGTACCATTAGTGTGGAAACTCTTTGCTGTCTACTGAAGACAGATGGAGCTAAAACAGGATTGTCCTGAATGCTGTGATGTCAGATCTTTACCCAGATGTACCCATGTATTTATAAAAGGTGGTAGATGGAAATTCAAATCAGCACTAAACTTAAAATATTTAGCTCTAATGTCAAATCAGCACTGTTGCATGGAGTTGAACCATAGAGACCAACAAAAACAATTACAAATAAACTACAAACATTCAGTAACTGGTGCCTGCACTGAATATAAAGAATTATGTAGTATGACAGAATCTTCTTCTTCTTCTTCTCTTCTACCTTGTACCTCATCGAAGTGTCGATGGGAGATGAAACATTCGTTGATGTGCTCTGTCAAGAGCACTATTAAGACTGATGTTCATTTCTGTAAGGCTTTTCTCAAAGCCATCACTCCATATTTTCCGAGGTCTTCCGCTCGCTCTATACCTGTTGTAACGTTTTAGTGTTTCTCGTTGTGGCAGATAGTACCAGGGCATTCTTGTTAGGTGTCCAAACCACTTCATTTGTTGTTCTTTAATGACCTGAGTAGGGACAATCAATATATGTGAATGGGGCAATAAAGAAGAAAAAGTGATAGAATTAATGGAGAAATATGATAGAATCACAAGTGTGAAGCTTTAGTAAAGACCTTAGCAAACTAAGGGGTGAAGAAAAGATGCTGGCACTGGATAGGACATGCTGAGAATTTTGAGAAAACCCGAGGATAACATAACTAGAATGTTTTTACACTGGAACCTACAGGGTCACAGGAATAAAAGCAAACCAACAACAAAAAAACACAGAGAAGGGAACTAGGGGATGAAATTAAAAAGTTAAGGACAGTGAGGGTGGGAGAGGGTTGCTGCATGTAAAAGCAAGGGATAGAATGCCATTACATAATGTTGTGTTAACACAGTTAATGTCACTGCACACTGGGCATTCCCAAGCATGCTCAGTCCTCTGATGCAGCAGCAACTCCAGGGTACCTCTACTGATTGTTTCCATGAAGAGTCGGTTATAAGTAAAGTAAAGGACCCTTTTCTGTGCTTTCAGGCGTACTGGGCATATAGGTGGATCTGGAGTTCAAGTGTGTCCCTCATGAGGGATACTGGAACCCACATGGGTAGCTAACATCAGTAAACATCTGTGATTTATGAACACTTTTTCAGTACCAGATGGTTTCAAGTACTGTTTTTTATGCTTGGATGTAATCAATATTTAAAATTTGTCCTGAAAGCATCTGAATGTGTGATTACCAGCCTGATAAGTCAGCATGCTAGCCATCAGGCTACCTTGACTCCAAGTCAGACTGATTGTGTAGTTAACTGATGCTATTAACTCTCATTAGCATCTTCTTCTTGGGGAGGGGGGGGGGGGGGGGGGGTTTAAACAAAATTGTTTGAAAAAGATCAATTATTGATATTCATACAGGATGAAAGGGTTAAGGACATCTCTGTTACAGAAAACACACTTAAAAACTCACCTTGTTACAAGCAACACATTTAGGGAACACCCAAAAGTGACACATCACTAGGATGAATGAGAACAAGCCCAAGAGAAAGGCATACAGCAACAACTGCATAAATGCAAAATGGTTGCTCTCACCGACACAGTTGTTTATCCTAGCAGATGAAAAAGACAAAGCATAGTATTATACATCAAATTTCGTCCTTTTTAGGACGAAATTTTTTGTCATTTGAAGCCCTACTCTGGCTTTTGCCAGGGGCCGCAATATAGGCAGGCCATATATATGGCCAAATGTCTGAACGCGGTTTCTGGGACCTCTCCACGGCGATCCTCATCCACATGGTGGCACTCTGTGTCATTGGGTGTTTATCGCTTGTGTGATGTCCTGGTGGGGTAGAAAGTCAGTCAGTCAGTCAGACAAAGCATTTTATTCATCTTAATTTGCTATTTGATCTGCTCTCAGACGTCAACATAATTCTTCTTCTTCTTCGTTCGCCAGCTGTACGCTCCAGCGGATTGTCCTGGCTGTTCGTCCATTTGGACTCTGGCTTTGTGCCATGGCCTGAGTTTTGCATGTACTGGCTTATTTGTGTACAGTTGGTAGTTCCTTGCCACTCGGGCAGATGCACTCCAACTTCAAAGGAAGTCCCCAATTAGTCGACTCCTGCGACACGCTTGTTGGGGAAGCAGTGGGTCTATTCTTGTTTTCCCCCACAATGAGGCCACGTAACCCACATGGGGACAATTTAATTCAAAACAGCAGTTTTGAACTCTTTCAGTCCCAGACCACTGGGATATGCCAGAGCAAAAGAAAATAAAAGAGCTGACAGAATGGACAATGCAGACATACTGAATGATGAGATATGCTGAGATAAAGGAGGCAGCAATGACTGGAAATAGGTACAGAGGAAGGACAAGCATGCAGAAACCAGATGCAGGACAATGAAAGCAGCTATGCTGATAATCTCCTGCTGGGTACGTTCAGAATGGACAAAGTAAGATGACTGCTGCATTGGAAGACAGACCTTCTTCTGCGTTAAACATCAGTCATGGCTAAACATTGAGTCCCGTCTGGGTCACAAAGAGGATTGTGCGCTTAAGGTTGCCACCGGTCTCCCATAGCTTCTCTTGCAATGTGGCCCCCTTGGGCCAGATCCACAGTCTTTGCTAGGAGAGGTTAGGGCAGTACTGCAGTATGTGCTCAGGGGTCTGTCTTTCTGCTCCACAATCACAGACAGCAGATTCTTTTATGCCTATCCTGTACAAGTGTGCTCGAAGACCACAGTGTCCAGTCCAAAGTCTAAAATTTGATGTTTGTTCTTTCCTGTTGAGTTTTTTTATGCTGTCACTCTCTGGTCTGTAATTTCCATTCTGCCTTCTCCACTCCCGCTTGAAAGACTGCTTTAGCGTTGTTTTGGTTTCCTTGTAGCTGTGTGGTGGATGAGGTTGTGGAAGATTACTCCCAGCTTTTGCCAACTCATCTGCTCTCTCATTTCCTTGAATACCACAGTGGGCTGGTATCCACTGCAAGACCAGTTCTGCTTCCTTGGAGAGTAAGCCAATGCTGGTCATTAGATCTGCAATTAGTTTGTCTTGTCTTTTGCTGGATAGTGCTTGGAGAACAGACAATGAGTCACTAAGTATAACAATTTGGTGCCCTCTGTGTTCTTGAGTGATGAGATGTTGGACTGCAGAAAGGAGGGCAGTTGCCTCAGCTCTGAAGTTAGTGCTGATGTCACCTGCTGGTAGAGAGAGAGTTTCTGCTCTACTGCTAGGGGGTTTAATGTATATTCCACAACCCCCCTTTCTGATTGCATCTGTAGCAGAGCCATCGGTGAAAACCTGAGTCCAAGTGGTGTTTGGATACTTCTCATCAAGATTGAAAGACAGACCAATGTTCAATGATGTCAATATGGATAACAAGCAACCTCCAAGTAACATTTGATCCCAGACACATACTTCATTAGCTTCTATCTTCCTTCTTCTTCTGTGTTTTGCCTTAAAAGGAAGAATGGCTGTGTTGTGGTTTACAGCTAGGGAGCTTTATCTGTGCCTTTCTGCCCAAGACATCTGATTTCAGCCAATTTCTAATTAATCACCATGTGACCTAACTCCATAGCAGTAGTAGTGTTTGAGCCTGAAAGAGATCTAATAACAAGAGTAGAGGACAAAAGGAAGTGAAGTAACAATTGGGAAAGAATGAACTAAAAGGGTTGAGGATAAAGACATACATGTAGTATAAAGAGATTCCCAGCAAGCATGCTTGCAACTCGTGATTCCCAAGGCTGAGGAGAACAAAAGGATGCAAATGAGTTTAGACAAAAGTTTAGTTCTGTGTAAATGGAGAGAGAAGAAATGCCCATTTTAGGAGAGGAAAAAAATGAGTAAGCATATTGTAATAGGTGACTAACAAAATGATTTGCTGTGTTGTTTTGGGTCGAAAGGTGCAGATATCACAGCCTCGTTCTGAATCACATGCCAACCGCACCAAAAATACCCTCCTTGAGATAACTGAACACATCCCCATCAGACCAGCAGACTAGTGTGATGTCCAGAGCAACTCACATGCCCTCATGGAGCTGCGTGGTCTAGAGGTAAAGCATCCGCCTAGAGTGCTAGAGGCCCTGGGTTCAAACTCCAGTGAAGGCAGGGGTTTTTTCACATGGACTTCCAGTAATTTTCTCTGGTCTCTGGGTAGTAAGATTGGACACCAGTGTGTATTGTTGCGCACATAAATAAATCTCTTAGCAGTTGGAAATCTAAAAGTGTAGCTTAACGGCGCTGCCCGGGCAAATTTTGGAGTTAAAAATCTACTTTGATGTGAATTCAAACTCAAGACCTTCAGGTCAGCAGCTGAGTGTCTAGCCACTACGCTAATGCAGTTATCGGAATAACTTTTTTTAAAATTTTGTCCTATTGCTTTTGCTGTAAGGACTTGGCGTGAGTAGGTTGAGGTCCTATGCTCCACTGGGTGCTAGAAATGTATAAGAAGAAGAAGCTTTTGCTGTAAGAACAGAATAACTTGTCGTGAGTTGGTTGAGGGCCTATGCTCCACTGGGGTTAGAAAGGCAGAAGAAGAAGAAGCTTTTGCGGTCAAGCATCACTGAGAGTGTGGCGGAACGGCTAGACACTTGCTGCGGATCGGAAGGTCGTGAGTTCGCTCCCTGGCGGACCGGAACTTTTTTTTTTTAATGACCTTGGCTCCCAGGTCGACCCAGCCTTGAGTGAGTACCGGGTGCAGTCCCGGGAAGAAGAGGCGGCTGGCGTGATACTGACCACATCCCCCATCTTGTGCCGATTGGTCTATAAAAAATATAGGTCTAGCCCTATATGTCCTATACGGTTAAAGGCATGGAAAAAGGGTCGCTTACTTTACTTTTTACTTATCACTGAGAGTAGTTAGATCTAGTTTGCTGTCTTTTGCTAGATGTGTAACACATGTTAATGTCCCACTGTGATTCTGAAGTGTCATTTTGATTCTCCCCGCCCATAATAACAATAACTTGTCTAACTGTAAACTGCTGCCTTACCATGGACAGTGGTGATCCATCTTTGTGACACACTGACCACATCTTCGACAATGGTGTGATCTGGGTGGACGCATACGACCACAGGTTTGACACTTGTTCCAGTTTGTTTCTGGAAAACAAACAGATTTAGTCAAGATTTTCACTCTTCTGCTAATCCAGGGAATTATTATTAGTATCATTATTATTTGTTATCTGTTTTATATCATTGTTATTATTACTACTACTAATACTGTCAACTCCTTAACTATTTTTTTCTTTTAATTTAATTTAGTATCATTATTATACGTCTGTGTCTGTGGCTTGTGGCTTAGGCATTGCGAGCTTGCTTTGTAATGCCGGGGTGCCGGGTTCGATCCCAGCTGCTGGCCTTGTGCCTTGCATTGGTTTCGACAGCGGTATCAAGAAGCCGACCGTCTAGAAATCAATGGCAAACTACTAGACGTAAACTTGCCTAGAAAAATCACAACAGTGAAAAAATGCTGGGGTTGGTTCTGCAACGGATACGCAACTAAGAAGAAGATCATTATTATACCATTATTACTACAATTACTATTTTCATTCCTTTATTTATGTTTTTGTTTCTTAACATCTATTCCTTTCCCTTGTGTTTATATTCCATTATTTTTAGAGTCCATTGTGGGGTTTAAACACCCCCCCCCCCCCCTTTTTCCCCCCACCAACAAGCATTATGTGAAAGTCAACTAATTAGGGGTGTTTCCCTATAGCGCATCTGCCTGAGGGGTGATGAACCAACAGTTTGCATACAAATAAGCCAGATCAGTAAAACAGATGTGCATGCAAAACTCAAGTTCTGGAAAAAATCAGAAGTGGACGAACAATCAGAACTTTCCACTGAAGTTTACAGCCGGTGAATGCCTAGAAGAAGATTTCCCCTTAAAATTATTCATGCCACTCTCCAATGATGGGGCCAGTGCCTAGGATTTCCTGCCTTATTGTGGTCCCTCTCAACAATAAAAGCCTCGGCAAAAATGTCCAACTGTTCTTGTGTGTGTTTCAGTTTAAACCCCCAACCCCCCAGTCCTAGTAACAGCTTGTGTTCAGTGAATTCATTCATAACCAGCTCAACTGCAGTCACTCCCTAGTCTCCCCACTCATATGTTGGTAGTCTGTTATGCCGTCTTTAGTCTCAAGATGATATACTGTCCCAGACATATACTTCGTTAGCTTCTGACTTCCTACTTCTTCTGTGATTAATGTTTAATGTTGTTACTTCAGTTTCTTATGTCCTCTACTTTTGTTATTTGAGATCTATTTCATTCAAAGGCCAAATTTCAAGGAGCCAAGCTGCAGGCTAGAAGGGCATGTTGTCAAGAAAAAACAGTCTCTAAACTTTGAAAGAGTCACAAGGAAGATGTGGAGGCTGGTAAAACAAATTAATGACGAGAGTACAGGAAGAAAGGCAAATACTACAATATATTCAGAAGGAGTTATCCTATTTAAAAAAAACAGACAGCTGATCACTTTGCAGATTTATTTGCTGAAGATAGTAACATTGATGTCAGTCCACAGAAACAGTGAGAGGTTCGAAACAAACAACAAAACTCAAGACATGATATAATTCTCCTGGTTGTGGAAGAACCACAAATTAGAGTTAGCAATATCAAAGCTGAAAATGCGAAAGTCGCCTGGAATTAATGGAATAACCAACGAAATGATCAAAAACCTAGGGACAACAGCCAAAACAATAATTAAAAATGTAATAATTGATGGGTCAATGGCAAAGTTCCATAGATATGGAGAGAAGCAATCATGATACCTCTCCTAAAACCAGAAAAAGACAGTACAAATGCCTCCAGTTATAGACCAATCAGCCCTTACCAGCTGTCTCTGTAAAACAATGGAACGCGTTGTCAACCTTAGACTTCAATGGTACATGGAAAGTGAAAACATCATCACGCCGTCGCAGGCAGGCTTTAGACAGTGCTACTCTACAGAAGACCAGACAACTTACCTCTCTCAAGAAAGTGAAGATGCCTTCCAAGAAAAGAAACTAGTGCTTGTAGCATAGATAGATTTGAAGAAAGCTTTTTACAAGGTCTGGAAAGAAGGTCTCATAAAGAAACTGAGAAACTACAATGTGAATGAGAATATGTACAGATGGGTGAAATCAGACTTGTATAACAGAAGAGCCCGAGTACAAACAGACGGACCATCTCAAATGATTCATGGATGTCAAAGGAAATTAAAACTAATACTAAACTTAAAATTTGTAATTCTAATTTCAGACAGTACTGCAGCAGGTAGTGGAAACATTCAAGTTGTACTGGCTATTGCTTTTCCCTTGGTATCACTGGTGACGTAGAGAGGGGGGATCTGCTGCGTGGGCAACAGTCTGTACTCCAATTCAAAATGACCAGGCCTGTGCCCTAGAGAGGTCATCCCAGCGATGCTCAAAGTTGAAACAACAATTATTAATAAACTACAAACAGTGTCAACTGTTGCCGGCACAGAATACACAGAATTAAATGGTTTGACAGAATCACTTATGTTGATCTTTGGGAGAGAACTAAAAAATGCCAGTGAATAAATCAAGAGGTGTGAAAAGATGCTGGTGAAAACTATAACTACAATGTCTTTGCATTGGAACCCAGAGGGTTACAGAAATAAAGGCTGAACAAAAAACACACTGAGAAAAGAGCTAGTAAGTGAATTAAAAAATACAGGCATGAGATTAGATGCATGCTAAATTAAAGGATAGGTCAACTTCAGTGAGTCAGTTGAGGGCCTATTCTGGTAATCTGGTAATCCTAGTTTCAGCATCATAGCAAACGGGTCACCCCATTGTTGCTCCGCTCCTGTGCCAACGAAAAACACTCGTAGCTCACAGTGTCAGACCATGCACTCAACTCAGAAGCTGGGTGACGAAACTATATCCTTCCAGTCTACAAATGGAGCAAAAATGCAACGGCCACCGCCTGGCAGAACTGCCACGGCTTAAAAATAAAAAATAAAAAAAAATAAAAAATTAAAAAAAAAAAAGTGGCCGTGCCTAGCGTCCACTGTGACTTGAAGCATTATGTGAGGGGTTAACAAATGGTCACCCCAGCAGTACCCTCACTAGTAGCTGGGAAAGGGACTTAGGACATTACATCCACCAGCAGGCGTCGCCCCTACAACGACCTGACTGCCTTCGTTAACGACTGTTCACCCAACAGCCATGCAGTTCTTTGGCACGAAGGAGACACCTTGAACTTGGGTTTCGGAATGCCGACTTCCTACAAAATGTTATTTTGTGTTTTGTTATCACAATCGACGTCACTGCACATTGGGCATACCCATGCGTGCGCAGTCCTCCGAAGCCTATGCTCCATTGGGGGATAAAGGGCAGAAGAGAAGATGGATGTCAGTCACCTGGGCCATGATCAATCTGCCCACTTTCAGCGTGTGTCTGCCCGGCATATGTTGCCAGATTGCAAACTCTCAAGCAGTTCATGACAAAGGCCTATAATCTAAATTAGCGGTTCTCAAACTTTTTTTGTTGTTGCTGTGGTACCCTTGTTGTGCTGAAAACAGTTTGAATACTTAGGAAAAGAAGAAAAACAGTGCAGCGTAATCACAATGCTTGTTTGCCTATGTTGCGAGGAATACAACTGTTTGGATATTTACTGCACCTTAACCAATGCAGATAGAGGATTTGTCGCATGTTGCAGCTGGCATTTTATGCAACATGAAATATGTCTGACTGTGGCGAAAACAGACAACTTGAAATTTAACTTTTAAGTATCTTCATGCCCTCTTTAATAATTTCACAACTGTTAGCCGACTTTTCTTGATTATTACCGCAGCACCCCTGACATACTTTCGTGGCACACCAGGGTGCTGTGGCACCCAGTTTGAGAACCACTGCTTTAAATTAAGAATAAATGCACAATAAAGAAGACAGATTTCATCAACGTTTTTCTGCTGTTATTACTGATAACAGAATAATACTCACGGGCTCCGTCAGATCCCAGATATCTCGGAACTTTCCCAGGGTTTGTCAACGATGCACGGATGAAAGACATAAGACACAGTGCTGCTACCAAGAGATATCCTGTGAGAATAATTATATTAGACATGAAACTCACTGGTTATTGTTTCTGTTATTTTGTATGTTATCACAATGTTGTTATAAATTGTGTATGCGTGTGTTTGAAAGAGAGAGAAAGAACCACAGAGACACAGAGAGAGACACACATTTAGAGCCTATCAGGGAAGAAAGGGGAAAGGGGGGTGGGGGTGGGGGGTGACAGACACAGACAAGCAGAAAGAGAGAGAGAGTATATTCTAATTTTCAGAGCACATTCCGTAACTGTAACTGCTTTCCTTTTTGCTGATATTGTCATGTATAGGAATTTATTTTGTTGCAAGTCTTGTTTTGTCTATGATGCCACTTTATATTCAACTGTATCAATTCGCTGCCAATTTATCTTCCTGTGTCACATATACATGTGAAATTTAAGGAAAAGTATGTCTTTATGATGATACAAAGCAATCCTGTCTCACTTAATGACTTCTTTGATAAAGGGAAAAATTTTCCTACCACCGCTTTTTAATATGTTCACTTATCGGTCTTTACTAGCAGTCACTACCGACCGTCAACCTATGGAGCATGCTGATATTATTAATACCCTCCGAGAAATGGGAAGGTTGGAGGACTTTGGAGGCAGTGAATCTACATCACTCACCAGAAAAATAGACTTGGGAGTTAAGATCGGTATAGCATAAAATGAGACGCACACCAGAAGACTTGTTAATCAACACAGAACCGGTACTATCAGCCATCGGACGCTGGTGTTCATACTGAAGGGAGGATCTGAGCACCTATGGACATGTCCGGAGTGCAATGATGATAACCCAACTAACTTACTAACTAACTAGCAGTCATTAATATTCTTCACAATCTCTGTTTGTGTACTATGTCCAACCATTGGTGTGGAGGAAGAAGAGAAAAGACAGAGATGAGAAGAAGAAGAAGGACAAGAACAAGAATAAAAAGAACAAGAACAAGGTTAGTTGCATATCTTTTACAGGACATCGCAGAATCAATCAAAGCATTTTATGTGTGATTATAATTTTTACTAGGCAATTTAACATTTGAACATAGAGGACACAAACAATAGACTGCACAATTTATTGCCTGGCATATTTCGCTGTATCTCATCAGGTGCATACTACAGTAAATAGTGATAAAAATGAAGCAAATAGCTGAATCCTAGAAACATACACAAATTCGAGTACATTCTACACTGTCTGTTTCACCAAGGTAACCTCAAGGAAACTATCATTTCTTTCTGCCTACAGAGATCTGGTTTCAACCGGCTGATAGCGGAAGCTTCCGCGTATCAGAGTAATCTACAGTTGGCCGAATTGTAAATAATTTGAAATGCATCATCCCTGTTGATGATGTGCCCGGAATTTAGAATATGGCACGCAATTGCTGATGATGGATTTTGTCGACCAGTAACCTGACTGGTTGTTGCTGAGGTGTTAGTGTTCTGCATTGCTTTTACCACCCATAGTGGAATATGTTCAGCAACCTGTTTCTCCAGTCGTCGATCAGTTCTGCCCACATATGCAACGTTACAGGTGCATTTAAATTGGTATATACGGTTAGATCTGGCATACGTCCATTTAACATTTAGTAGTTTCTAGTGCCTTCTGAATGGCAGGCTCTCAATACCATTGTCAGTATCAACACACAGAAGTCTGTTGCCAAACTACCCACAGTTGGAACTGAACGGGGTATTTCGGAATTACAAATGGAATAACAAACCCAAAAAAAGGAGAAGAAGAGGAAAAACAAGAAGGAGGCGACACAGAAGGCTGAGGCAAAGAAGAAGAATTATTTATTATACCATCCATGTTAGTCAACATTACAAATTATTCACAATATAAACTTGTAACAATTCTCACCATAAAGAACCCATGTAGAAATAATTCCATCCTCGACTCCAGGAATAATTATAATAAACAACGCTGAAAAGGTGCCATAGATCCAATAAGCAAGTACTAACAACGAATAATACTGTCCTTCTTGATCTTTCACAAAATGAATTCGTCCTATTAATGGAATTTTCACACTATTGTAAGGGATTTCATTTTCAGGTTCAGATAACATGATATTCATAACTTTGTCAATGTCAATCATTTTCATGGATTTGTTTCCTCTTTACAAAATGATGCATCTGAAGAGCAGAGAAGTTCCTGCTGTGACGTAAAGCTGATCTGTTTCTTTCATAGTTGTGCAGTTGACGTCATGATATAAAGCTGGAAGAAATAATAAACAATGTATATGAATTGAGACAGTAGAATGACTTTTATAACTGCCTTAACTGTGTGGATTTACCATTTTTATTGTAGTATAGGACTAGGAAATTTACTGCGGCATGTGGGGGGGGGGGGGATATGGGGTTGATGATTTAAGACTGCATTGCTAGTGCAGCTGCCACAAACTGTGCAGTTTTGGATTTTAATTTTGTTTCCTTTAACCAAATAAAAAAAAAATGCAATTCTCATCTTCTTTTTTGTGTTCACCAGCAGTAACTCCAGCGGAAGGTTCTGGTTATTCGTCCACTTATGGACTCTAGTCCTGTTTTAGAATCTGAGTGTTACGTGCACATCCGTTTCATATATATGACATTTGTATGCATACTGTTTGTTACCTGCCTCTCAGGCAGATGCACTCTGACTTCGAAGGAATAAATCAATGAATCAATGAATCAATCAAGAATTGACAACACTGCAATCTGGACATTCCCACACGTGCTCCGTCACCTTCTTCAGCAACAAAGAAGAGTTGACATGCTAATAGTACCAGCCACAACCTAATTAAAAGTCCGCCTTTGTTTCCCCTTCAGTGTTGAATATCTTCCAGAACCTCTGCTCACCGTAACTGAATTAGTCTTCCAGTATATGGTTTCCCTATCTGTTCTTTAGCACTGTCCATCTAATCCCATAGAGCCTCCCCCCCCCCCCCCCCCCATCTGCTTTATCATAAAGTAGCTCACTGCCCAAAAGAATGGCAGTAGCCAATCAATCAGCCTTGTCAAAGGAAGCTCCCATTTAGTCTACTCTTACAACATGCTTTTGGATAGGCAGTGGGTCTATTCTTGTCTTACCTACAATGGGAATTGGAACCCACATGGAGATAACAGAAGATCGAACCCATGTCTCATGCAAGACAGCACAGCACTCTTACCACTTGGCTGGCCGCTCGTTCTCACTTTTATACAAAGGCTTTAAACCACATCATCTGGGGAAGAATTTTTGAGCCACAATAGAACCGGGCCCAACTGTATGTGAGACTTTCTACAGGAGAACATCTGGGTGGAAGGTGAGACAAAGACCAAGGAGAGAGAAAAGCTGAATTCTGCAAAAAAGATAAACAAATTCATCCCCAAAGCCGCTTGAGAAATGCAAGAGAAATACAGAAAACCCACTATAGTGAGCTACATGTTAACTGTGATGACAAAAAAAAAAAAAGGCTTTAGTGGTACAACCAGAAAAGGTCTCTTTTCCACACCTTTAGGCATATAGGGCATATAGGACTAGACCTATATTTTTATAGACTAATTGGTGCAAGACGGGTGATGTGGTTAGCATCAGGCCGGCCACCTTTACTCTCCTGGACTGAACCTGGTACGCACTCAAGACTGGGTCGACCTTTTTAAAAAAAAGTCTGGCTCCGCCAGGGAGCAAACCCATGACGTGAGCTTCTAGTCGATAAGCCACAGTGACTCCAGTTAAAACCAGTGGTACAGTTTAAAACAACTAGTACTGGAGACATTTGAAAACTGCATTACAATGATATGAAATACCAGCAGTAAATATGTTGAACCTGCCTGCCTTGGCTTCTAGTCAAATATGGTGGGTAGACAAGTAATGGCAAGTGACTTCCTTCTGACGATGATTAGATGTATTTTTCCCATATATAGACTGAAAGTATTATATGGTTCCACTGCCCAGCTACTCAGTTGAGTATGTAGATCCACATTGTGAGCTGCATATTTCATTTGCAGTGCTTTGTGACTTTGCCCAGTGTGGTTTGTGTTGCAATATGCAGATTCATAAAGTGGCGAGTGGCTTGTTGCCACCGAACTGGTAGTGCCTTTTGCGATATAGTGCATGTGCAACTACTGATTTGTTGTAACTGCTCCTTACTAACTTTCTAGTGTTACATGCACATAAGTTTTACAGATCTGACATTGTATACAGTATAGTACTGTCTCTTTGTTTGGAGCACTTTTATTCTCTTACACCATAAATATGGTAGCAATGGCACATTGTCTGTGTAAACTCATCAGAACTGCTAGATTCTGAACAGCTGATCGCTCAGCTTTGCTGGTAAAAATTCACTGTCCGAATCACTTTCCGAAAAATCTAAATTTTCATTATCAGAATTAAAAACATCTGACTGAAACAATTTCAGAGCTTCGGCGGCAGAAAGACATATTATGCGACCTGCACTTGTGGCTGGAACATTGGTAATCATGGCACTTGTAAACAAACTTCGAAAGTGCATTGTTGAAAAAAATGTAACTATAAATTCTGATCAATCTAAGCACATGTGGCTTTGGATACGATTGTTGCTAAAAGGAAATCGTTTTAGAGTGACTTTCTCTGAATACTTTAATCATAGTTCCAAACATTAGAAACAAGTACGGCACCGTGTGCAAAGCAATATGTACGGGACACACAGTCGACGATGACAGCGTTGTTTGGGCAAAATGGAACTTCTCAATCAATGCTCACACCATTGCCCGGGCCTTAAAGAGTTAAGGCCATGGTGATAAGTATAAGGAGATACTTCGTACTTTAACACGGGCACCAGCAGGCTCTGGGCTGTTTGAACAGATCCTCATGCAAAACTCCTGCCACACATCCTTGTCATGCACTATAGATAACGGCTATATTGGCTTCAACCAAGCTGGTAGGCATCACACAGTTGGTGGCACCTAGAGATGCAGTGTCCAGAAAGTGTCTCAGTTTACCAGCCCACCCCCAAATGCAGGAGTGATAACGTTTATCAAAAACTTATCTGGAACATGACTGAAGCCAACTGGGTGAATATCTTAATATATGACAAACCTTGGTTAACAGGTCTGTCGACCAAAAATTCTGCTAAATTGCTGATTAGGCTTAATTGTCCATCGGTCAGTAGTCAGGGTCTCGTAATCAGCTTTTTTTCAGTCGTTTGTGTCACAGTGTGAACTGGTGAGACCCAGCCCTAACCATGAGATTGGTTCGCAGCTAAGATGAGCAACATCTGTGGGCGATATCTTGGGGTCCGGTCATAACAGCAGTTCTAGATGTTCAGCTAGCGAATGTCTTAGTGTGTGATTGTGATTCAGATTACTGTGGATGCAAGGTTCAGATGAACAGGCGTGGCTTATAGAAATGTCTCGAGTATTGTGACGTCCATTATCATTCTTAGCTTCATTCTTAATATTAATACTTAATTCAACACTCCGGAGTTGAATTTGCGTTCGTTATTAATATTTAATTTATTTAAATATTTTTTTTTTCCTCATTTCAAAGTAATAAAAGAAACTACTATTACTAACAATAACAAATAATAATATTAATTATTTGGATATGTTTCCATACATATTTTCCCCACTCAAGTGTTCAGTAATTAATTTCTATAAATAATATTTATATTCTGTATACAAACAAATGAAAGACAAAAACGACATGACTTTTAAATACTTTTATATTTTAGACTTCAGGTTTTCAGTACAACCTGTAACAGAAGCCAATATGTTTGTTCCGTGATAATAATTTACATTTTGAGATATTCGGCCTAACAAAAATAGTGGAAGCACAATCTCGGTGAAAAGAAATGTTTTTATTAAGGACTAGGTATTAGGTACTGCCGTAGTGCCACAATTCAATACCCTTTACCCGCCCACTTGGGATTACTCTATATAACTGTTTATACTAAATTGTACGATTGATCGAGGTTTCTTGTAATTGCTCCACCCCTGCTAACCTGCTGTACAGTTATTATTATTAATTCATGAGTCAATCTCAGACAATATTTTTTGCCTCCCCCAAACACGAAATTCCCGTGGGAATTCCACAGCTGACTTGACAGTCCATTATTTCAAGGGGTGCAAGTGTGCTGCTGTCTGCTGCTGTTTTTGAGTGTTCATCTAGTGTCTTATGGTGCGACATATTTCGGTTTGTTGATGCGCATTTGGCTGCTTGATGATGCGCAATTGGCCGGTCTGCAATATTAGTTATGTTTTCATAACATGTCAACATGTGAGTGCATATCGTAGTTGGTATCACATCTGCCTTGTAAATGAAAGATGCCGTGTTCAATACCGACGTGATCCATTGTGAATTTCCTTCTTTTTTTTTTTTTCAAATGAAATGTAAATTGTGTGTGTTTTTGTTGTCACAATGTTTTTTTATTAAATAAAATGTAAATTGTGTGTTTTAAATGAAATGTAAATTGTGTGTGTGCGCGCGCGCGCGTGCGTGCGTGCGCGCGCGCGTGCGTGCGCGTGTACGTGTTTTTTTTTAAATAAAATGTAAATTGTGTGTTTTAAATGAAATGTAAATTATGTGTGTGTGCGTGCGCGCGTGCGTGCGTGCGTGCGTGTGTGTGTGTGTTTTTGTTGTAAAATGTGCACTTTGGCTATGTGAACTCTATGTGCAATCGCAGGAAATGCCAATTGGGGTACTGTGGGGGGCCCTAAAAAGGGCCAATCATTCTACATGAATACTGCTGGGTTCACGCACGAATTGACAATCACAGAGATTGTACACGTTAGTAGATCTGAACTGAGGTCAAACTGCGGTGGCAGAAGAGACGACGGACTAGTAGTCTCTCGGGGGCCAGAATCTAGCAATGTCTGCTAGTATGGTTTCAAACATGTCGCCACCCGCACGTTGAGCGCGCCTGCGCCACAGAAACTCACACATGTAAGATTCTAATAAATGTCTGTGGGTGCCATTCTGGCGCTTGTTTCTCTCCTTTGCCGACCTCCACAAACGTTCGATGCATTGCGTATGAGCACCTGTGGTGGGGTCGACAAAATTAATGGAGTGATTGTTTCTGAAACTTCTTGTTCTGTGCAGAATGCCATGCTGTTGCAGGAAGGCAATGCTGCTTTCTTTGTCTTGTACAGATGCAACTAG